GTTTTCCCACTCATCTTTAACATGCTTATTAACATTATAGATTTTTTTTTTTTTAATCATTAGCTTAATTGTGAGAGTCATTTCGTTCAAACTATATGGGTACCTAAGCATATTTACCTTTAACAAGATATTTATTTTTTAAAAAAATTTGGTAGCCTTATTTTAAAACAAAAACATAATTAATATTTTTTAACATGATATATCTTATTTATAAGCTATGGTGTATTGATTTTTTATATAAATTATCGAAAATCAAAAAAATTTAAATAATATTGACAAGTTTAAAAAAAGTGATTAGTGAAGTTAATTTCCTATCTTTGTTGTGATAGAAGTTAACCGACTTGCCCTGTCCAAAACCGGTTCGCCCTTGCCAAGTCCATGGAGAATTTATTAAGCGGTTTTATTTTTTCAGTTTATAGAGCCATCCTTCCCCATATTGTTTGGCTTTTAAAATGTTAAATTTAAGGTTATAAAACGTCCATGAGAATTTTATGATTTTTTCTTTATCAAGGTAAGACTGTATTAGTCAATGAGAAAATAGAGCAGAGTTTTCGATTGGAATTTACTAAATGATAGTGACGCTTTTGGACAACATTTATAAAGAAATTATAACTCCCAAATTTTCACTAAAATAAAGGCCCCATTTATAGAAACGCTCTAAGTTTGAGCGTTGCGTTATTTAACGCAGTGTTATTACAATATTAAGCCAATAAATAGATATAAATTAAGATGATAGCGATATGATAAAATTTGAAAAACATATATTGCGATGCGTTGATAAAGAAATAGGGATACAATTATAAAGTGATGTTTTGATAAGTTAGAGCAAGTGTTGAGATGAGGTAATCAGGTCAATTTTTATTAAATTTTACTGAAAAATGCCTCTAATACCAAATTGGTTTTAGCAAAAAAAGGATTGACCTTCGAGATGTTAACCTTAGAGTTCTGACGCCATTTTTAAAAAAAATGTAATTTTTTGCATAAATGATTATTTCCGTGTTATATTTTTTAGGAATTATTTCTCGCTATGAAAAAAGACATTGCCCTATATCCACGCGGAATATAAATTAGAGGTATGCAAAGCTAACCCTTTAAGAATTTTTGCAAGTTGCCGTCCAGCCTGTTAAATTGCTTATAAGAGCCGGAAATTTAAGCAAAGTCAGGCCCGACCAGAAACTTAAGACAGTTAAAATTTTACTTAAAGTCCGACATGGCACGCATTTTTATTCGAATTTTCCTACCATTTTTCAATATAAATATTTGATATTTTCCCAAAGTCATTCTTACTCTTATATCTCTCCTCTATGACTATCTATTTCTACAACTACAGTCTTATAAATCATTCTGTTTGATATATCTGTATTGTGTGTTTGTTATTGGACAACATCATAAATAAGTTTGTTAAATATTTTTTTTTATATTATTTATAGATTTAGTATTTCAGTTAGACAGCTCTTAAAATAAAAAGAAATTAACATATATTGTAATTTATTTTCAAATAGTAAATCAAAATAATAGCTTGAAATTTAAAAAATATATATATCAAAACTTTAATGTCGGGGCTTGAAAATTTTACGAAAAATCAAAGATTTGCGATGTGCCAGATTAGTGTTGTTAAAAGGTTCGTTTTGAGCATTTTATCCAGAATAATATTACGCAAGCCTGAAAATTTTTTTTGTAGAAGGAACAAAGGTTAGGACATCTATTAGCGAAATCTGGAGGCTTAGGCAATATTTTTCTGACTAAAATATTGAGTTAGCCGTTTAACAACACTATGCATGATTTAGATTTTTTATATATTGTAATATAAATCAACATAATTCAAATTTAAAGCATTATTTTTAAGGCTAATTTTTTTTAAAGCTAATTTTATAAATAAATAAATATAAGGGTGTGCTCTACCTAGATTTTCATTTTCTTTTTATATATCTGTCTCTAAATAGCATGTAATTTTTAGACTATAATATAAAAAAGCACATTATAATATCATCCATCTTATGTCACATCTAATAATTTTTTTTTAAATATGAAGGGGGAGGGGGGGGGGAGTGTCCTGGTTGCTCTTTGAATAAAGAACAATAATTAAAACGAGTTAAGACGCAGCCTAGCAATACAAGAATAAATTTTACTATTCAAGAATATCCTATAGAGTATATATGATTAATATTAAATTTAGCAATCTTTTAAAAAATTTTTGTGTTCCCTTTCGAAATCGCAATTTGTAAAAGCGAAAAACTGGAAAATATTTCATGCATATTCACCAAAAATAATATTGATGTTGATAGTTAGGGAAATTAATATCAAAACCAATTGATTCTTATAATCACTAGAAAAAATGGAGATTTTTTAAATGTGAGATCTTTAGAGAATGTCTAAGAAACATTCCTAAGTTTTGCATTTTTTGCATATCTTCTTTTCGACTATGAAATATCTTTATTTTACAATGACGAGAGGTAATGGAGTAGTCCAATGCTTGGCACTCAAAAATTTTTATCTGGGCCGGGCCGGGTAAAAAAATTAAGCCGGGCAAAAAAACTATTTGGCTGTTATTGATGTGATATTTGATAGAAGTGATAATCCATAAAGTGTAATGTTTTAAATTTAACTAATCCCCAATATTATAAATAGTTGTTTATTTTGGTGTTCAATTATATATTTTTCGGTTTAGTCTTTTATTTAAAAAAACCGGACTGGGCAACCTTAAAATTGGAAACGGGCCGGGTAGGGAAAAAATTTAATCAGAACTATATACTAAATTAGGTAGCTCGCATCGTCAAATGGCAATATACAACAACTCTAAAAATAATTTATGAGTCAAAACTGATTATTAATCATCTTAACCCTTTCGCGCCCATGGATAACTTTTGGAATCATAATTTTTCAATAGTATTTTTTATGCATTAAAAATAACCACTGATAACTTTTGAAATATATTTTTAATTTTTAATATTTGCTGTTTCGTATTTTATCAATAACTCGCTTTGTTACATATGTTATTATATCATATTATAGTTTTTCGTACCAATTTCGCGCCAAAATTTCAATTCATATTTCTGGTTATCAAATCTTGCTAAAAATATAAGTAATAATTTTATTATTTATCATCTTTTTAATCATTTTATGTGTTGTAAATTGAACATAATGCCATTTGGCATCATTGGTCATTTCTTGTGCACTAAAATATTTTTTATCAATAAATGGAAATTTTGGGCAAATTATTTAGGATATTTAGATTTAAAATTATCGAAACGGAAGGGGGGGGGTAATTAGATTAGATTTTGATAATAGTTACCTATATTGATTATCTAATATCTATTAGTGGGTTTTCTTGGATATAGGGAGAGGTTCTAATAAGTATTTTATATAAATAACATGTAATATGAAATGCTTTTTATATCAATATGCATTTAGATATAACTACACTCCCCGAGGGTGATATATCTGAGGCTGATATAGAGGGCTCAGACGAAGAAGACAATTATTATTCTTTGCTGGCAGATGATTTGCCGACTTCATCTTATATTACAAATCAACTAGGCCTTGATGTGGAGCATATAATAGAAGATACTTCTATAATTAAAATAAAAGATAACCCCATGTGGTCTAAGAAAGACATAGGAAATATGAATACAGAATATATCCCTATATTAGAAATTCCTGAAGAGGATTCAACTCCACTAACATATTTTCGTAAATTTTTTGACAATCAGATAATCAGTAATTTTGTATCGGAAACAAATAATTATTCATTCCAATGTTCCGGTAAATCTATAAATACAGATAGTGATGAAATTGAAAAATTTGGGATACATTTATATACTAGTATAGTTAAGATGCCTTCTATACGACAATATTGGTCTGTTGAAACATCTATTCTACAAATAGCGGAAACTATGTCCTGCAACCGTTTCCTTTTGATCCGGAAATAAAGTCTTTATAAATGTAGAAATGCCCGCAATAATTAAAAACTATAAGGGAATGGGTGGAGGAGATCTTCACGATATGCTGGTGGAGTTATATGGGACAGATATTAAATGGAAACGATTTTATATGCGAATGGTTTTCCATTTACTGGATTCTTGTGTGGTAAATGCCTGGCTCCTATATAGACGCCATATGAAAGCGTTAAATAATATAAAATTTATGCCTTTACTGGTATTTAAATCGCAGATAGCAAAAGGGTTGATGCTTGCACGAAAGGATAATACAAAGAAAACCGGCAGACCTTCGCATAGATGTTAAAAGATGAAAAGCTATCAACATTGCCCCCATATCGGATATAAGATATGACCAAGTAGGTCATTTCCCAATGCCCGTAAGTATTAAGCAAAGGTGCAAGTATTGCGTAGAAGCCTATTCAAGAATTATTTGCAAAAAATGTAATATTTATTTATTTTTAAATAATAAACGAAATTGTTATTTGTTATTTCATATGAAATAAAATATTTTTTAAATGAACTTGCATTTTGCCCATTGATAACAATTGGAATCATTGTTTGATAGAAATACTCGAAATAAGTATTTTTGATGAAAATGTGTTATTTGTGTCTATAATAAATAACTCTTAAAAAAAAAATTTTTCATCGAGGGAAAAAAGTCGGGCGCGAAAGGGTTAAAAAGAGTTAAAATATCAAAAGGTTCAAACCCGTTAACATGTATCTTTAGTGGTTCAGGTTCGGATGACAAATTTATAACGGTTCAGGTACAATAAATAATAACGGTTAATACCGGTTTCACGGTTCGGTTCATGAATTCCTGCTTTTTAGTAATATATCACTTGAGTTTCTTTTTGTAAAGTAACAGTAAAAATACTCTTTAATCCATTTTAAAGATTTGCATAGTTATAAAACTTTCAGAAGTTTAAATTTAATAACATCGGATGCTTAATTTTTGAAAATTTTATTTAAAATAGCTTATTTATTTATTTTTATTAGTTTCAGCGAATCAAAATTTTTGATATTTTGAATAAAGCCTTAAAAAGTAAAAAAAAATTTTTAAACCTTGAATTGGCTTTTTGGGGGAGTGCTTAGATCGAGAAATATTTCGAGATTTGAGACAATATTTCCATAGACCGGAATGACTGGATATAAAATAGTTGTTCGTCTCGTTCATGTAATAGGGAATGCGCATTTTTAAAATGATCCAATATGACGTTGACACCGCGATGCACGTCAAAACAAATCCTACGACAGTGGAAATAATAACGCCTGTGAGTATTTTTTTTTCGCTTTTTCGTATTCTTTCTTTCGCTTTTCTCGAAAGATACGGCATTTGTAATATTATGTAAAACTATTATGAGTAATTTTCAGAACGAATAATGATTTTTCAACTATCGTTCACCGTGAAGTTTGGGATAATTTTTTACGTTTAGCTTCAATGTTCTATTATTTTTATAAGTGATATACATTAACATATGGAATTGATGATTTGATTATAATTCTTTTTCAAAATCTTGAAGATTGAGGTAAGAAGGAATGATTAAGAACAGAGCGTGCTTTTTTAAAAATAAATATTACCACCTTATTCTCCTGATCATCGTTATTAAGAATGATTTTTATTCTTGGGATGCAAAATTTTCCTAATCAGACGATTTTGGATTGATGGATAATAATAGATTCAAATAATATGCAAACTTTGCAATTTGTCAATGAAACATTTTTTTTTAATTTCGATAATTATCTGTATAATATAATAATATTAGATTCTATATATTTTGACTTTTTTTTTATTATAATCTAAATCACATGGTTGAAAAAATTTAAATAAACATTAAATTTAAAACGAAAGAAAATATTTTAAAAAAACCAACTGATTTTATTAATATTTTATTAAAATTTTTTTATATAATTTGTAACATTTTAATTTTAATTTTTTAAAACGATGTTTTATTATGGATAGATGATATCTTTGTTGGTATTTTAATAATAAAAAAAATAAATAAATTTTTGATGAATAAACAAAAATAAATAATTAAAAGTCTTATGTTGAATGAGTTAAGGATTCTTTCGTTCGCTAGATAATTAAATTAAATATTGATTGGTTCGTGTCTGCTAAATATCTCCTCCATTCAATCTATCTTTATGAGATCCCTTTTCTTTCTCTTTTTACAATTATATTAATTAGTAATAATAAAAATAATATTCAATAATAAATTTAAAAATTAGAATAATTTATTTTAAAAAAAGAAAACTCAATAATTTTAAATAAATTTATTGATTTGGGGGGGGGGGGGGATAATAAATACACGTGTTTATTAAGCAATAATTTTTTGAATAGAATTGGGATGGAGACTGAAGTATAAATCAGGTCGGACAACTTGTGCAAAAAATTTTTTCGAACCGGACCTTAATTTTTTAAAAAAATTAACTTAATTGGGCATATATTGATGTCCTCTTCTTTAAAAAATTATTACACGTCGAGGTGGACAACTCGTAAAAAAAATTATTTTTAAGGATAGAGAAAAAATAATCTGAAGTTTGTTTCCTTTTCATCATAATCATTGTCGCATTTAGTAGGAGCTAAAGTATACTTAGCTCAGGGAAACCAAATTTAAGATTAGTTATATAAATATATATGCAAACCAATGCATTAATAACTACCTAATTCTATGCTGAAGATTTAATTATTTCATTTGTATTAATTACAAATCAGCTGCTGGCATGCTATTAGTTTCCCATGTAAATAAAGCTATATTAAAGTTTTATGCAAACTTTTTTTAAAAAACAATTCAGAGTTTTCCTTTATTTATAAAAATTTCTTTTGTAGAAACCTAAAATACGTGTCACCAGCTAATTTTATTCAACAACACTTCAAAATTCATTTTAATGAATCACCAGTTTAGGCAAGTATTATAAGTCATTGCCCAACCCGGACGGTAGAAAAAATTTGGATGAAGATGCGATCATAAATTGACACTTATATGCTAAAGTTTAAAAAAAAATGCAATTTCACTTTAGAGTCGATCCAAACCGCTAAGATCTCTAATGTAAGAATTATATGGTGGTGACATAGTTCGTAATAATTATTCATAATTGTGAATTTTATTCCGGCGAACTATTTTTTTAAGCTTCGCACACGATGATAATATCTTTAAAATATGATTCTTGTATATTCTAAAATTTTTAATTCTGCTTAAAGTATAACTTCTTCCTATTTTTTTAAAGTCTAAAAATAACTATTAAGATACAGACACCTATTCAGAATTTTTTTAAAAAAACCAGATAGGACGCAGTTTAATATTTCTATTTCTTAAATCGGAATTGATATTTTAAGAAAATTGGGGAAAAAATATATATCTAGAAAAAAAATTCATTGTGACTCATGATAATTAAGCTAACTCCTTAATTTGGAACAAAATATTAGTATAGTTAACAGAATCCTATCAGCTATTTTGGAAGTTTTAATTAAAAAAAATAAACCCCCCTGTCTAATTTGAAAATAAAATTCTACTATTCATGTTGCTCTTTTTTTTATATTGTCGGGCAAAAAATACGTGCCAGTCTGTTGTATTTACATAATGTAAATTCTTTTTAACAGCTGTATTAACTTAGAAAGAGGTATTTTGAATACTATTCTTAAATTGAAAAAGAAATTGTAATTTATTTAATTCTTAATATTTGATGTTTAATTTATGTGAAATAAAAATAAGAGAAAAAGATGTTGAAAATTAATTATAGGGCATCGCCATCAGTGGCTATACTCTAAAATTGAAATAAAATATTTGATATTTTTAAATATTCAATTTAAGTAAAATTTTCATAATTATATCTAGAGAAATCTTATTACAATGGAGCGTTGTTTATTCTTTTTTACTCGACTTACGAAAGGCCAGGCCTAAAAATTTGACCTCTAGAGATCTCTAGTGGTTGTTTTAAAAAAAATGAAGAGAGATTATAACAAAAGGTAATAAATTTTTTACTAATATAAAATCGGTATTTCAACAAGGTATATCCCAATAACATTAAGTTTTATTTAGTTCTTAATTAGGTTTTTTATTTAAAAAGAAAAACTTATTATGGTATATTAATTATTTATATATATATTTTTTAAATATAATTGAAGAAATTATGCAATTTATACTCTTTGTGTAACCAGTATCGTCTTGAGAAAAACGTCTAAATCTTCTTTGATAATTTGGACTTTTACACTAACGTTGAGTTAGATAATGTAAAAATTGTCACGTTCCCATCCCCTAACTAAAAATTGTCCCTACTTTGTTATCCCCCTCTATCCCTTTTTTTTAAAAAAAAGTTTTGAATAATTTTTATTGATTAAATTACATTTTTCCCATTAATTTAAAAAATAATCGATTTTCCCCCTTAAAAATTTTTTAATCATGTTTAAAATCATATTTTATTTTTTTTACCTTAATCCCCCCCCCCTTCCGTTTCCACTCTTCATAAAATCTCTCAATTAATTTAATTTAAATTACAAAATTTTGAAGTATCTTCTATTCAAGCTTATTTTATATATTTTTTGAAAAAATAAAATAGAAAAGAATTTAAAAATTAAATAATTTTTTTTATTGATTTTAAAAAAATAAAAAGCTAATAATAATAATAAAGATTTTTTATAATTAAATTAGTAAAATATGATAATTTAATTTCTTATTTCAAAGAAAAAAAAATATGAATAGATTGGGAAAAATAATGGAATATAATCATTTTCCAAAAAGAAGAAAGGAATTTAAAAAAAAACAACCATACATTTGAAGAACCGTCTTTCCAATCCTATTTAAATGATTATTTTTTTTATAATAATATAATTTAAATTAAATCAATTTTTATTTTTCGATTAAGATCTATATCTTTTTTTATATCAAGCATTTTTAAATTATAATAAAATAATAAAGCAACTGTTTTTAATTTATTGAAAATCTTCAGACGATTTAAATCACCTGGTTCAGAAACCAAATTAAAAAAGTGATTTGTCAAAACATTATTTTTTTAAAATTAAAATACTGTATGTACAGTAATTTTTTTAATAAAGCCTTTAAGACATTTTGGTACAATCTTTTACACCTATAAAAATGCTAAACACTGACCAAATTTTATTAAACTCTTTTTTAAGGATTTACTGTGTCCCAAATCATTCTTTCATTTTCGGTCTATTGTATTGAAGGTCATTATCCAGTCCGGACCGATTGACAGACTGATCTTTTTCAGTACCACAGCCTGGGCCGGTCTTTTTAAGTTAGCTTTACTATTAAATATTATTTTAAATTTTTTTGATCAATCTTTTTTAAAGACAATGGTCCGGTTCGATCTGAGTGCATCTGTCCGGTTAGGACCAAAGATCGGATCATGACCTTCACTAGTCTATTGTATAAAAATATCTTTAAAAAAATTTGATCGGATTTTCGTTAAAATGATATTTAAAAAAATGATAAAATACTCGTAGAGGTGCAGTCATTTATAGATGCCATCAAGTTGTTTTTTAAAGAAGCAAATGAGTGTAATTCAACTCTTCAGAATGTTATCTCAAATTCTTTTGTATAATAAAAGGATTCATATCTATTTTTTAAGGCAAGAACCTAATATTTCATCTATATTCACTATTTTAAAAAATAATATTATAGACTTCCGGGAAATGGAATCACCTAGTATTTCGCGATTAAATCTGATTTGAGAGAAAAATCAATGACGAGTAATAATTTCGTACTGAATAAACGGACCTAAAAAAATTACCAAAAGTGTAATTAGCATGGTTTATATATCTGGGAAAAATGTAAGGGAGTTGTGTTTTACTGATGGCATGGCTTTACTTGAAACTACCAAGAAATACCTGTTTTTAGTAGTTTGGCTCCGCAGGGCCCGGTCATTCACCAAAATCGGCAGAAAGAAATTTACTACCCCATCTGAAATTTACCTCTTCTCAAAAATATCATTTTAAGCGAATAAAAAAACTATCTCCTACCCCCCCCCCCCTGTTCGTATCACTATAAATAATCATTTATAAGAAAAATTAAAAAAAGTTAATAAATTTTTTTGAAAATAACGACTATAATTTAAAATATTTAGAAAAAAAAACATTTTTATAAAAAAATGACCCAAAATTATTTTAATAAATATATAGCATAACCAAAGGTCTCAAATAAGGGGCGCTAAAGACATCTAACTTTCCCCCTAGGGAAATCTGGATACGCATATCTGATATAGTAGTAAAAAACAATGGTATATTCTCTTTAGCTCTATCATTGGCAGGGGGAGGGGTTGCATTTCATGTCGTTTTGGCCAGGGCTTCGAACCTTTAAGTTTAGCGGTTCGGTTCGTTTCAATTTTTAGTTAAAAAATTTTTAAAGGTTCTGTTCCATTTCTGTTTTTTTTAAGAAACCATATCAGTTCGGGTCGGTTTAGAATTTAAACGGTTTTTCTGTCCATTCCGGTTTTTATAAATTTGATTTTAAAAAAAAATAAAAATCTTTCTAATTTATATTTTTATAATTCCTTATTTAATTTAACCATGAAGATTATTTCTTATCTAATTAACTAGTAATTTGCCTAATCTCTATTAAATTGAGTATATAAAGTAAATACAATAAACGTGTAGTTGATTGATATGAAGATAATGGCGATTTAGTTGTAATTTTAATTTGAAAAGTAATCCCTAATTTAAATTACCCCCAAGGAAAATTAAAATTTCCTATTTAGATTAATAATTTAAAATTAACTATTTTTAGAACCTTTGTTCGGTCTTTTTATATTTTCTTTATAACGGTTCGATTATGGTTAAGAAAATTATAACGGTTTGTTCTGCTTTCGCGGTTCGATTCGGTTTGAGGCACTG